TTAGCGGCAATGGTGCGACATTTAGCGGTAAATGCGACATTTAGCGGTGTTGCGACATATAACGGCGTCACAATGAGTTAGTTAACAGTGTTCTAATCAAGACATAATAGGAAAAAGTACCTCTTAATAATGACTTGAAATTTAGGAACTGTAAAACTCATAACCCAATGACTTTCTTAGTTCTGTTAAAGAAATTATGAACTCTTCTTACGAGTAACTTTCTTTTAAGAATATTTAAATTCCTTTTAGGTGTATTGAGCTTTTAAAAATTATAATTAATATGAGTGATAAAGTCCTTATTAGGTTTCTATAAACCCTAGATACATGTAAAGAAGTCGTTATTAGGCTTGTAGAACTCCTAATTACGAATTAGTTGATCATAGAACATAAAGATTTGACACCAGGACGCTTCTGAACCCATCACTTATAATTAAATAGAGGATATTTGTTTAGTTCAGTGTAAGATCGGAATATATTTCACCGAGTGAGCACCAAAAGGTATATTTCACGAGTGGCGCAGCCACGAGTGAAATATGAACTTTTGGTGTTCACAAGGTGAAATATATTCCGATCTTACACTAAACTAAACAAATTTTCTTTTTATTATATGCAAAGAAGCGTTTTAAAAAGACATTTAACCTAATACTGAATGAAAAGCGCGCCAAAAAATAATACAACGTGACGTCATTTACGACGTCACGTCATTAAGTTGGTACCCAGTAATGTGCACGCTGATATTGCACTGAAACAACGTAAAGGGCTTAAATTCAAAAACAGTGAAATTATCAAAGTGGTAATTTCACTGTTTCAAACAGTGAAATTACCAGTTTTAAATCACTGATATATTTCTATAAACCACCGAAAAGCATGTAATAAAACATCTTTTTTTTTTATAAATGTTCGTCCGTGCAACCACAAACACGCATCGAGGATGTGTTGTAAGAAAAGTGACCACATACATGCATCACGGGATTCCCTTTCCCAAATGAGAAAGTGACAAACAACTGTCCGCCCTTTTATCATAGGGCAAATTTTTTAAATATACCTTTTCCTTATTGTTTTTTTTTTGTAGGGTAATTTTTTACAGTACATTTTGAATCGGGATAATTTTACAAATTTTGTAAAAGCAAACTAAGGGAAATAGGGCTGTTTTCCCTCCTTTTAATTTTGCTGGAAATTTTAAAAAAAATCATATTATAATTTTTTTAAGGGAAAATTTTTTTTTTACATTTTTTTTATTTTCAAATTTTTTGCATTTTAAAAAAAAATTTTTTTTTTTTTTGCAAAACCCTGAACGGTTTTTAAAAAGGTTTTTTTTTAAAGCATTAAATGTACATTTGCAAATAATAACCTGGGGCCATTTTGCCAATTTTCGCATTTTATTCCTTAACTCGACTTATAATATAAATGGTAATGCGATGAGTTGCAAGAAAAAACACTAGACCTGAGCAGCCGGGGCAAGTCATGTCGGTTGTGTCACTCACTGTTCAGTTGAAAGAAATATAAAACTGCACAGAATTAATGGATTTTGTTTAGTTCACTTACCGAAACACGACAGCTTTGTTTTGAAACACATATCTTAAAGCGTTCTATTTTTTAAAATTAATAACCCTACATGAAATCATTATGTCATTGTTATGCAAGCTATGCTAACATTTTTATATGACTTTGCATGGGAAACTAAGAACTAACATATGCAAGTTAACCAGTTTTACTTCACCTAAAAGATACTTTTGTTTATACCACAGTAGCATAAACATATATGCAGAATGAAAACTGTATAATGGAATTCCTTCAAAACTTTAATGAGCTTAATTTGAAATTTGATCTATTTATACGTATAATTTCAGCTAATTGTAATATAGTGCATTTACATCAGTTTTAAGTAGTAGTTACAGAATCCTAATAATTACAATCTTAACAGGAAAAAATATATAAGTCTTTATATTCTTGTGAAATTAATGGTGATTACATACATATAAAACACACGCACTGTTATCTCTCCTTAATAATTATAACTTTGCAACAAAGTATGTGATACTTGTGAACCCATAGCGGGTTAACGGCATTAGCCATTCGGTCACGTACGCCAAATAAAATTCTTTCATTACATTTCTTTCACAAACAGACAGTTCTAAAAAAATTCAGGAATTGCACCCGGTTTCTTAATATCAGATATTCTTTTAAAACATCACGAATATAAATATACACTTTATGCACTTTTAAAATAGTTTTCCCAAAGACAATACCGGAATACATACGTTGCCCTTAATACATATATTTAAATAAATTATAAAACTTATTTATTTTGTTGCTAAGTTTTCTGTTCTCAATATTCTTAAAAGTTGCAGTGAGAAATATTAAGAGTAACTGAACTAGGGGTATGCTGAATCTACAGTGTTCGGTATTTATTGTAAGTGGTTTAAATAGCAAAATATCAGACAAAAGTGGGCATTTTAGAATGAACCGTAAATTAGCTTTAAAGCATTTTGTAGTTAGAGGACAAGTAAACTTTGCGTAACAATATGTTCAGAGAAACAAAAACTGCTTGAAATTATATTAGACGACAAAAATATTGTATTTAATTTGGCCCTGTCTGCTTATAGACACCAATAGTACGTGCTTTTAACACGAGTCTCCACTGAGATTTTTTTGACATGACGGGTCTGGAAAAATATTCCGATTTTGAGAACCAGTTGATGTATATCTTGACCATTAACTTATGTGCACATTTTCAGATCATTCCCTTACCCAGATTTTTAAGAATAATCATTTAGATCGTGCAAAATGACACCAAAATGAAAAGCGTTGCAACGCTTTCCGATCAAACAAGCTAAGAATTTAATTCTAAGTATGTTTATGTAATATCTGTTATAAATGTTTACACTTTAAGTGCTTCACCAGCATTGATCTATGCAAGAATTTCAAATTTTATGTTTCTTATTCAATTATCAGGAGGTGTAAACATAATAAATTTTCATCTAAATCTCAGATAATTCATACATTATCAAAATAATACATGTTATAGCATTGTGTTTAACAAGCCAGGGATGGTAAAGAGTGTCAGCGAAAATATGCAATAATGAAAACACAAACACACTATTTTACACAGACTGGATCTTATTGGGGTGTCCAGTACCGTCCATGAACAGGCTCAATCAAACTCAGCCTGCAACCTTTTTCAATTTTGTCGTTTTAGGGTTCCGTTTTCCTCCATGTTGATATATAAATAGTTCATGAATCTGTGCATTTATATTTGTTTGTTACCAGTTTGCTATTTCCCCCGATTTATTGAACTTTTGCACGCCTACAACAAGAACTACAAAAAAATACTTCTAAAACTGCTGTATTTGAAAGCAAGCTTTTGACAGAGTAAATGGCGTTGGAATCGAACTTAACCTTTCCGTAAATAACAAAAGTGCATATAATTATTTAATTTATATTACTGTATTATGTTGAACGTTCTTTAACGTCTGACTTTTTCTTGGCTCATATACACGACACTCAGAACATTCATCTGTTTATAATAATTTGTTATGTAGAAATAAATCAAAAAGACTTGAATTCAAGTTTATTTGGCATTTGAAAACCATGTTATGACAGTAATTGAAACTGTGTTTTAAACCAAGAATTATATCATCATTGAGTCTTTATATTCCTTTTCACAATTAATCTTACCTAAATGTAAATAACTGAAATGTTTATGCTGTCAGGTATTGTAATTGGCAAAACCTGTTTATGTCTCTCAACATTTCAACTTCAGCGAGGAAACTGGTTAACCCATTTTTTGGTGCATTGATTTGTAACAAGACGTCAATTTCAAATCCGATGCCGATATGAGATCGGACAGAATTACTGTTTCTTGCATAGCAAATGTCTTGCATAGAAAAAACATGATTATGTTCTGCTTACGCCGGTGATAGAAAAACATGTCTTACACCCCTTTGGAAGAAAAGTCGAGTGTTTTTAATGGTGTCATTCTCCTTTTTCGTACATAATAAAAAAACCTTACGAAAAGTACTTATTAAGTTGTGTGTCCCTTTATATATACTTGTCATGTATGAAAAGACAATCTCATTATTAAAAAATAAACTGCCATATATCCTTACATCATTTTTTACCATCGTTTTAGACTTCAACAGATAGATACTCGCGTATGCCACAGTTCTGTATCAAGTATTCAATCTATACACTGATGACAGTATAACATTGAGGATATTAATATTTTAAAGTTACTGGCATAACTTTTACTTTCTTAAGACTTTTGCTAATGGTCTATCTATTTCATTTAATATAATTTTAGATATGGAACGCATGTCCACATATGAATCGCAATCTGCATTTTGACACGCATTTCTTCCATCCATTGCTAATTTCCAAAGAATTGAGCGAACAAGGGTTTATGTGTAGATTTTCATCATCACGGATCCAAATTGTTTTATTGTATAATGTTTTGTGACATTTTCCTCATCCATCCTTACATTGAAAATGATTGCATCAGATGACAATGCATGAATTGATAACCATAAAGGGGTCATATAACGGTCGAAGTGTGTTTTGATTTCTTTATACGAATACTAACTCAGAATTGTAAAACTTACTGTCCTCTTATGGAGTTAAAGCAATCTATGTTTACCGGAAACAGGCATATCTTTTTAACCAATTCACATTGCTGTGAACCACGTGAAGTTGTTTGCCGGTGTTAAAATGTCCCTTAGTCAAACAAAGTCACACTGATTTCATCTAAGCATATATAAAGAAACAATTTCTTTCGTGCATAGATGCTGATATATGAAAACATTGTATCACGCTTATATAGCGTGGCTCATATTACTATAAGGTTAAACGTAACATTTTGATGATAAACATACGTATGAATTTTAGAAGCTGACATGATATCTGGAGTAAAAGTTCAGAAACAGTGGTTGGGTATTTCAAATATTCATTTGTTTGACATTTGAACCGTATGTGAAAAATATTCTTGAAACTGTTCTGCAACTATTTGTACGATTAATTTAAGTGTTAAGTCCGCTATCCATGCGCTATACTGAAAGGATACATGAAAATATTCAATTCAAAGCAAATGGGAGAGGGCGAACATATTATGTTATTATATTTCGTTTGGAAATGGATTTCAAATTGCTTCTGTAAATTGATGTAAATACAACAACAGCGCATACGAATATTCACTGTCTTGCCAACTATATACATGTATAAACGTTCACTTACAGTGATTTCTCAACAGGACGAATGTTACAAATAAGCTGAAAGATCATCGTTACAGTATCTATCCCTGGGACTTTTAACTCGAAATGTACAAAAGGTATGTAAATGAAAAACCCTACTGCAACAATAGCTATGCCATACAGGAATTCTACTTGTGGACTTGAAACAAAAGGTGTTACTATAAGGAAAATACAAAACAAGGTGGATAGAATTGGTACGATAATAGGTGATCTGAATTTATCGCCATCTTTGGGTTCATTGCGTTGCTCATATCGTATGTTTAATAAGGAAATCGATGTTAGCATCATCATTATGAATATCAGAAAATTAAGAAAATTTATGAGAGTCCCGATATTGCCCGGAATAAGCAAAACTAAAGCTATACCATGTATTATCATAACGGATATAACTGGAACTGACGAGTTGACGTTTAAAAATGACATCACTTCCGGAAAATGCCCAGCGCGTGCTGCAGAAAAGAGAATGCGACTGGAACCGAAACTATTACTATTGCTAGCGCCATATACTGACACTATAACACATAATGGTACCAAGAATGCGACAGGTTTAAATCCATCTAACGCCCAATCATAGGCTACGGCGCTTGATGTAAGAAAACTTGCTTTAGGAAGAAGTGTAAAAAACGAAATGTTTGTCATGACGTAGATAAAAGTGACGGATATAACAGATATTAGAACGGCTTTGTATATGTTCCGCTGGGGGTTATGAATTTCTTCTGCTATCTCTCCGATTCGAGAAAATCCCCCATATGCAAACATACAATTGTATATTGCAAGTGTATATGACGTTACATCGGTTGCTGACCCTTGAAAACTGTTATCAAAATTATGAACTTTTCCTTGACATAGAAACACAATTCCGCCTAGAGAAATTAGTAGAAGCGCAGTTACTTTAACGACCGTGCATACTATTTGCGTATAAGCCCCAAGTTTTGCGCTCCAAGTATTGGTAACACCTAGTGTTAAAACCATTGTTGCAGCAACTAACTTTGTCATAGCTATTGATGGTGTGCATGACTGAAAAAGAAATGCAAGTAAATAGTTTGCAAATACAAGAGAAAGAACAGCCAAAGAAGCGGTATTGCTGAATAAAGGTACTGTCCACACCACAAGAAATGCTGGTACCCTTCCAAGACTTTTGTTTATATAGCTGAAGTCTCCCCCCGAGTGTGGCAATAAGCTGCCGAGTTCGCCGTACACCAACGCAAATAGTAAGGATAACAGTCCGCAAAATGTCCACATGATGAGGCTCATTCCTGAACAAAATAGAAACGGATTCAAATGATATGTTTAATTTGTTGAGTGAGATTTTTTAATGGGTATTTAAAGATATACAATGCTCATCCTTGAGTAAAATATTTTAATTACGGAAATTAAATGATATCTGCGAAATTCTTACTTAACATGTCTAATTTGAATAAAAGAATGAATAAACTATGTATGGGAAGCTGCATACCCTATTACATGTCAAATAAAGTTGGTCTTTTTCTTTGAAAAAAATCGCCAGGTTTTTTTTTTAATAACACTATATATTCATATTGTAACCATCTATAGTAATTAGAGTATCTACTATGTGTGAAGCCAAAACATGTTTATTTTGTATTTACAAAGAGATTGTGTAGCAATTACCAATAAATTCTAATGTCAAATTTAAGCATAGTATATCTTCAAGAAAGATTTACTTGTAGAATGTTATAGTGTACTGATAACATACTGCTTTGAAAATCCTTCCGCCATATAATCACATGATACGCCTAAACAGTGTACATACTACTTTTCTTAATTGATTTTCAGTAAATATCAAAGAGATATTCATATTTTAAAATTTTATTTCCATTCACCTTTTTGCATAGTCTCAAATTGCATTTAATTAAAAGAAATAATTGTGTGCACCTCGTGAATCAGCAAACAGGTTGTAGTACTCTTTGATCCACAAGAGCGAATGAATGTCGTAACCGCTTATTATTCAACTAATTCTATACTTAATTCATTAAAAGAAAATAAGGCAACCTTACCTATAGAGCCTGAGTTATGAAGAGTACCAGCTGGTGATATAAATATTCCTGATCCAATCATAGATCCCATTCCAAACGTCACTGCACCAAATAAACTTATATGAACTTTTGGTTTGGCAACATCTATAATAACTGACTCATTATCACTTTGATTCATAGGCTGCGATTTGCTCTTCACTTTATCCATCTTTATAATTCTAGAACTTTTGTTTAAATTAAGTGTAATTCAAAGCAGCAAAGTTTATTTAATCACAGTACATGTATTGATGTGTTTAACTTACTAGTCTATTCGCGGCATACCAAAAATGGTAGGCGAAGATGTGTTATACTATCTATGAAATGATAATTATATATGTTATATATGTTAAGTGAACAAATTATAATATATAAACCATCAGGTGATATTTTATTATTTTATTTTAAATGAGAACAACATCTTTATCTATTTAGCTACCAAACAATTTCACCCGAAATGTTTTCCAGTGCATTAAAAAATATATTAAAATTACTTTAATTACATGCTTTTCTGCGATTTTACGATATCTGACTTTTATCAAACAGCAAGTTGAAACCTGTCATCCCAGTGTATGTTATATTTTTCTCACTGTATTAATGGCGTTCTCCAATTTATGTGCTCAAAACACTTTGCTTAAAATACCGTAATAGTTTATTTAAAATAAATCTTGTAAAATCATCAACTTTTTATCTTAATTTCTTTCATTTAAACATAGAACAAATGATGAACCTTTGTTTACCACATCCAATATTTACCTATTTTTGTTAAAATGAACGTTGAGTATCGTTTTGATATTACATGTTTTCTTTAATCATGACAAAAGCGTTGCTTCACGGATCTTAATAATTTATATTTTAACAAGCGATTTAGATTTCGATTAATGATATGAGCTGTAGTCTTTCGCTTGATATTCAGACGCAAAAATGTAGTGGTTTATTAATAACTTGTGTCAACTTTGGTCTAATAATTATTTTCCAACATAATTTCTAGAAGCTTGCTCTACTTTTTCCCGACAAAAAACAACAACATCATTTCTGAGTTTTAAATCTTAGTTGTCTCCGAATCACGACGGGAATTGAAATTATTACATACCTAGCAAACATGGTTTTATTTATTTATTCACATACCTGCTCTTGTCTGAAATCAAATAATTAAAATCATTTTGTCTACCTTCACTGACAAAGCGTATAAGCCAACACATAACCTGAATGTTGTTGGTATTGAAAAAAATTGAAATCTTAAAGACGCTCAAATCGGCAGAATTTAAAATGATTAAGCCCAAATGCCATTATTTCTATGTTTTTAACCTAAAATGTACTCTTTTAAGTATAAAATAAAGTTCAACATTTACTGAATACATTCTTGACAGTACGCAACAACAAAGGACATTTCAGCCTGTCATTCTAATACGTTTTCTTTACATGGTTATGCGCATGCGTCAAAATGGTAACACTTTTTTGAAAACGGTTAAAAAAAAATGTGAAAAAAGGATTTAAAGTAGTTTTTCTAGTGATTTTGGATTTGATTTATAGCTGAAAATGGATATGAATAAGTAAAGTTTATATAGTATGGGAAATAAAAAACGGAAGAATAGAAATAGCAGTGGAAATGACGTTGAAGAAATCAACAATAGAAAGGTATCTAAACAAAGAGGCCCGTCTGGTGATTTAGACATAAATATTTCTGTGAGCGACATACTTAACCAGACTAATTCTGTTTTATATGATGATGATGATAATAGTGTATTTGACATAAATTCAAAAGCAAAAGTTTCCGAGAAAATGGCGTCCAATGAAAAAGAACCAACAAACAAGGATATTATGAAATGTTTAAATGGAATATGTGACAGATTATGTGCAGTGGAGAAAAAACTTAGTGCTTTTGACCAGATTGAGAAACAAATTTCTAGTTTTGAAAAAGAGCTTAAATCAATATGGGTGGCTATTGATGACAGGGCAAAGAAGGTCGAAGAGCGAGTGGCCAAAATGGAGGATAAGATTGACAGCACAGACATAAGTTCAGCCATATTAGCGGGTAAAGTAGATGAACTTGAAAAGGCTCGGGACAGTATGAGAGAGGATGTGTCTTATCTCAAATCTCAGTCAATGAGGAACACCTCATTTTCACTAATGTACCCGGGAA